TATAGTTGATAAATATTTTTAAAAATACAGCATAATGGTGACGATTAAACCAAATATCAATAAATTAAAAACATTTCGTATTTCGATTCATAACACTATGGGCCGGATTTTGTGTTGTTGAGTAAAACATGTTTTGCATGTGCTTACAAATTCGCTCCCTAATCATATTCCCTAGCAAGTGATTAACAATAAAATGTTTATTTATGTCGAACATCCGCATTAGACTTAAACAATTGCAGTTTCTCTCATAAAAATTAAGACCATATACATGCAAACACCTGTGACCTGTTGTATGTCCATCGATAAATATTAGTAAAAACAAAAAAAATAATAACTACAAAATCAATATGACCAAAGGAAAAAAAAATTAAAAGTAAAAACCTGAATATTTAACTCGGGTTTTGATTAATTCGGATGCAAAACCCTGCCTGTCTGCCGTCATCCATACTGTTTAAACAATCTAATGAATCATAATAATAATAATAATAATAATAATAAATAATAATGAGTGTTATGCGTCGGTTTAGTAATTATTTGGTAAGGTACCCTATAGGTAGATCGTATATAGATAGGTATTATTTTAATGTGTAAAACTATAAAATCAATATGATATTATTAGCTATATTACGATTGGTAGGTAATACCTAGGTAAATGACAATTACAAAAAAAAAAAATAATTATAATTTGTACCTATACATATACACGTATATTATTGTGCAGGCATAAGCAGGAACGAAGAAGGCCGATATCGTTATTTGAAAACGAGAAACACATTTTCGCCGGACGAAAAGTACAGGGTGTGTCCGACACACAACTTTAAGTACGGATGGAAATTTAATGAAATGAATCTCAGCGTGGTACCAAAGCACGGTAGAAGACAAGTGTTAAAGAAAGCTATGTACAGTGTCCACGGTATTACACTATATGAAAAGCATCCCACTCAAAGACCACCGAATTCCCGCGGGAATTTGGAAATGGAGTCTTTATGAAAATAAAAAACAGTTAGATACTTTTTAAATGAATACGATTTTTTTTTCTGTTCTTTTTTTTTTGTTTTCATAATATTAGCAAGTTTACGATGAAAAACGGTATCAAGTAGGTACCTACATATTTTGCTGTAACCTTGCAGGTCAAAGAATATGATAATCCCCATGTTTTTCGCCATGATAACTTGTTTAACCAATATTAGGTACTATTGTTAATTTCTAAACACCGTGAAATTTTCAAAATATTTCTACCAAATTTCAGGCACTTTATAGTTTATACCAGCGGCTCTCAAACTTGTTTTTTTCACGTACCACTGATGATTAAAAATATCGACAATATCAACGATTAGGTATACCTATACGATATCTTATTTATTGACTTATTTTCCGTGAAATCTAAATCTGAATTTTATCTGAATGTTAAAAAAAACACACGACATTGTGAAATCATCGATACCTACGTTAAGAATCTAATATTTGTTTTTAATTTTCCATCCTATCACCATGCGGCCTTTCGCGTACCACAGTTTGAGAACCGCTGGTTTAAACCAACCACAAACCGATTTACGTAATCCTACAACATTTTTCGGTCTATAACCGATGTAYATTMTATATAATATGTTAATGACAAACATTACTACAGTATCTAATAGGTTGCTGATTCAGTGACAAAATTCTAAAAATGTTAAACAAAAAACCATTTTTCATCTTTAAAAAAGTAGATTAGCTTCTATTGCTATACCTAACAGTCCAGCCGATGATGATAGACTTGTATGAAATTAATCAATATAATGTTCGGTCACCGCCTAAGATGCTGTTTTAAACATAGGTACACATGTGTATTGTTTATTAGTAGTCTACATTTATAATGATTATATAATATGCAATAGTCTAGCAACTGGCTTGTTAAACATTTTATGATTAAATGAAACTAAAATATTTATTATTATGACGTTGGCGACAATTACAATTATTGTTTAATATTATCCGAGAAGCAATTAAAATTACCACTGTAGAAATCAAAATATGTCATATTTTATAATACAACCGAACAATAGTCACAGAATAATAATGAATGCAATGAATTTATAACACAATGATAATCAAAAATTGTTTTATAATATGACAATATTATATACATTGTTAACATACAAACAACATTTATTACAATAAACGWAATACCTATATTATGGTAATATATTTTATATCTAGTTAGGTACGTAGTAGTAAAACTTGGAAACAATTATCTTTATTCAATAAAAATTTATATTAGGTTATATAATATGATATTTATAACATTTGTTTAAAAAGAATTATTATAAAATGGAATTTATTTTATTTTTATTTATCGAAACAAAATCGTATACCGTAAATAAAAAATTACGTACATTGAACAGCGAATACATACAGTGAAAACTCTCTTTTTAATGTAACTCGTTACAACGAAAAACTCTACATATATTACGTAAATAACATTAAGTTAAAACTAATAATGGTTGGTTTGATTTAAAACCTATTAATTACTCTCTATTACGAAAACTCTGAATAACGAAAGAAATCACATGGTCCCTTCAGATTCGTTAAAGAGAGTTTTCACTGCATTTATTTAAAGAACAAGAGCCATCGCATCTAAARGAGATTATAGCAATAAATTTAGTTATTTTAACTTTATTATCGATAGGTATATCGACATATCACATAAACAATAAGCTTAGACAATGAACGATGTGATGTAGGTATCTAGTGTTTAATATTAATATATAATTAATAATTCATATATAAATGTATGAATAAAATTGTATTAAGTTAACAGTTTTAATGAAAAAAATTGTTTCTATGACAAAATATCAAAGATTTTCCAGTTTTTAAGAGCTTAAAGCACTAGGAGCTACCTCTGTAGCAGCGGTCTTTAACCTTATTGGACTYATAACCCATTTCATTAACTATTTATTTTTGAAAAAAGTTGAAATATAATGTATTAAAAATGGAAGTTAATTTTTAATCAACAGGTTTGCTGCGTTTCATACATGAGTGAACTTAGCAAATGTACTTAAATTCTTAAAAATTCAAAAATTTTAATTTTAACAAACTACTTTCATACTCATGAAATAAAGCTTATAGGAGACGGTAACAAAACTCGAACAATTAAGTCCTAACACTCACAAAATTGATGTGTATTTAATAACAAGGACATGACCACGATAATTGGTGTCATTTAGCAATCTAAATGACAACCTTCTGGCATGTGAACGTATTAATTCATTATTATGTATTATATACATTTAATCCACTTTGTACAGTTAAGGTTGAACTAATTAAAGACCACCACTAAATAGTCTATAGTCSATAGTATAATGGAAATGTATTAACAATCTAAWAGTAGCGAATAACAGAATTGCCATAAATTACAGTTATRTCATATACAGRGTGCGACAGTCAAACCCGACGRTTTTAACAAGAATTGGTGGGCAGGGTTAAAGTGGTAGAGTTTTCGGGAATGTTCTCATCGCTTTTAAGTACTCGAAATTTAGTAATCATGGAGCATTGGTCGAGTGAACAGCGTGCGTTCGCGGTAAAAGCGTGTTACAAAAGTAATGATAGTTGACATAGCGACATCCAGTGGCCTGCTCGTTCACCGGATTTGACGCYTCCTGATTTTTTTCTTTGGGGTTATTTGAAAACCAAGGTGTTCGAAAATAATCCACCAAGGACTATTGTTGACTTGAAGGAGCGAATTCGCCTTGAAATCAATAACATAACCTTTGAAACACTTCACAACGTCATGGGAAGCTTTGCTGTCAGACTCTCACAATGTGTGGCTAACCAAGGAAGGCATTTGCCTGACACAATCTTTAAAAAATGAAGTTTTTAAATATTATAACATAAAATTCCACTTGTGTACTTTTTATTTGTTTGGCCAAAAATTAATAAAAAATTGTTTTTCTATTTTATTTTATTTTTTCAAATCGTCGGATTTGACTGCCGCACCCTGTATATCGTACAATTGAACGAGATGAGTTTTTATTTAGCTACCAAATCGATAATTTATAAAAAATTTACTTTTATCATTATGTTTAAATTACATTTAAAAAGCTCAAGGGTTTGCTCGATAAAATGTATACTTGAGCCACACTACAATTAAATTTATAATAATTATTATTATACAATAGTCTATTAGTACATACATATTATAATATTTAGTATTACGTAATACACAATTAATACTAAATAGTTTCCATTTTATTTGTATTTAACTTTATTTTAACTGCATGGAACTATCATATTATTTTGTTATTAGTAGTAATCCAAAATGTGATGTTGGTGGCGTATGGAAAGGATAAACCGGATAGAGCGGGGAAAGCGAAAGAAGAAGTACTTATTACAGTGGGAGAAAAAAGTACAATCATAGATGCAATTAKAGGAAGACGCTGGAAAATGGTTGGTCATGCCCTGAGACACCCAGAAGAATTGCACAAAATAATATTAGAGGGTATGATAGAAGGGAAGGAAACTGCCGGACGTCCCCATAACTCTTATACAGGAAAAATTAAATGCGATGCAAAATACAAAACCATTAAAGAACTTAAAGAAAAGACGAGTAATCTGTTAGAATGGAGAATTGGAGTTTTAAACCAACCTTCGGGTTGAAAGAAAAAAATTTAGTAGTAATGACATATGAAAACTGAAAAGTTAAATCGATAGTTGTCTTAAGATAACAAAAGTAATATAATATCATTATTATTGGTCATTTTAAATGGCACACCACTTATATGTAAAGTTGCATAAACAATCACAAAACGTTTAATGAATCAATAGTAATCTAATAGTCCCTTAAACATGATTTAAGTGGCCCATTACATTTTATTAAACCATTAAATTAATAAATTTACTATGCAACCCTGAATTAGAGTAATAATTTTACAGACACTATGATAAGTCATAAATTTTATGAAGAGGTATAAAATCAAAAGATTAAATTTAATGTTTAAGGGAAATACAAAATTACAATAATCGTTAAAAACACATAATATAATGGTRTACATACATACTAACAGACACACTAAATCAAGTAAATAGATTTTTCTCAATGAACGATAGTMAATAATTATAGAATTAATAATAAAAATATAATATTAAATTTTCATAATATATTTTTGATAGTTACTGATTACTATCTATGAACCTCCGAGCAWACCCATAAGTTCAAAAAGTATCTTACAATGTATATAGTCGATTACATAGTTATTTTCATATAGTATTTAATTTTTAGGTAAACTATTATTCACAATTAACCTTTCCCAAATATTTACTAGATTTAAATATCTAGGAAACTACTATTACAATGTTTTTAAAATTAAGTTTCTAAAACAAAACTTTGGAAAAAAAAATTAATAAAATATAATATAAACAAAAATTGAGCTAAATAATGGATATAAAATCCATATAGTTAATTAACAACCATCAATGGAAGAGTACAGAACTAGGATCTTCGTTATCAACTTGTTTAATATAACGTAAAATATCTTTTTTTGTWATAACTCCCAAAAGTCTCCTGGAAAATCAACATAAGATTCAAAAGTTTTAGGAACAAGTTTAAAAAATAAAATTGATAAATATAAACTACAAACCCATTGTGTGTAACCAATGTTTGCCGAAGTCCTAATTTTCTGAACATATCAACCACAGTTTCCATAGGTGTTTGATCGGTAATTGTAATTGGGGCCATATCCAGAATTTTCTTTAATTTTAAAGGAGGAGGCATTACTTGTTGAGTTATGTCGGTAAAGAGAATTAAAGATTCAGGTAAAAGTCCATCAATGGTTCGTTTAGCATTTTCTGAAATTATTTTTACAATTGTTATTCATAAGACACATTATATAAATGAATAAGTTGAACATCACCTAATGCCAATTGTAAATCCCTACGTAACACATATCCAACAAGATATTGAGATTCTCGTGACACCACAACCGGAAATCCATTATGTTCAGTTTCTTTTAATAATATTTCAGTATCTTCTAGTGACATTGAAGACTGAGTGAGAACGTTCAAATTTTCAGCTCGACTACATTTAATTATAATAATTATAAATTACAACTAGTTTTAAATGTTTGTATGTACATTTTTTTTTACTTTAATTTTTTCAAATTATTGTTATTATTATTGATTAAAGAAAAAAAAAAATGTAAATACTAACCGAGGCTGCATAACATCAGCTGCCAATGCTGTGTGAACAATATCTTCTTTACTGTCCAAAAATGGATAACCATTTAACTGAATATGAGCATCATACATTCCTTCTTTTCCCAGTGCATCACCAACCCATTTGCTGGCCATGACAGCCGCCATCAATGGAACAATGTATCTGACACCACCGGTCAATTCAAACATAATGACCACTAATGAAACTAAAAATTTTAATTTAAAATCGTTAATTCAATTTTTGTACTGGGTAAYTTTCAATTTTTAATACTCGATAGTAAACACTGAGTAATATTGGGCCCCCGCAATAACATGTTCAGTGGGGCCCATTATCTTCTTGAAGAATACATTCATAAAAAATTGTTACCAGTCATTCGGGTTACTCCTCCTAGAACAGCAGCAGCACCTACCATGGCATATAAGCCAGGAGTAATACAGCCTTCTTGGCCAGGTAATCCACAACTGTTGTCGAAAAACCATAAATGAGGGTGTTTGGCAGCTAATTGTTGCATCAAAATACCAACAATACGGCCAGTGATGCCGCCCATAGCTAAGCTCGGAATAAACAGACCACAAGGTACCTGTAAAACATAGTAAGTCATTATACACATAACATCAGCCAAACATTTACAATAATAACATTAAATATTTTTGATTCTTATACCTTAATTCCAAATGTAAAAATTGTAGTGACTAATTTCAATACAAACGCCATTGATAGAAGTACCATAGCTGTGTACACACCRGGTCCAGCTAAATTTGCTTTGTCGTTTGTATAATCGCTAAACATCATAACACCAAATTTTAAAAATTCAAAAATTTAAATGTCATTTAATATAAATTCTCACCACAAACCATCATTACTAGATACATCACATTGGCTGAAAAGAAGATAAATTAATTGACTAGTTCCCATGCGTGTATATGGATTGGGATATGAGAGTATTGCTGTTACAGCTGTGAGTAACAATACTTCCATGACTGGATATTGTCCAAGAATGGAGGTTTTACGAAAACGACACCATTTAATATTGCATTTGATAAAAACAGTTGCAATCACACCCTAAATTCAATGATTGTATAAAACTTATAGCGAAATTCCATATAAATAAAAAATTAAACTTAATTACTCCAATAATTCCCAATCCAATAAATGGTATAAGTTCAAAAAACATCCATGGCCTGTGATATTCCACGTAGAACATTACAGAATGTTCATTGCCAAATGGATTGATTGAACTAAGCACAAATGCAGCAACGAGAGCACAAAAGAATGAACGCCATAGAGTTTTCAATGGAAAATAATAGCTAACCTTAAAAAAATATAAATATATTTAAAATAGTTTARTTACTTTGACCTTTTGTTAGTGGTACAATATTTTCTGAAGACAATTGGTGTATGGGGTCTAATTGTATCCCAATACTGTTTATTGTTTGTAACTATTCAAATAGTTGTTAGTTTGTAATAATTATTAATAATTAATTATTTGTTGTAATTTGTTTTTTATTATTATTATCATAATCAGTTAATACCATGAGAATTAGAAACTGACTGAAAATTATCATTAATATTTATACTTATGGAAAATAAATTTTAGAAAAAATCATAAGTATTAAAAATTTAAGAATCAACCTTGACAAAGTAAATAAGTTAAAAACACAATGAAATTATGTTTAAGTATTTAAGATATAATTGAAAGAGATAAAAAAAAAAATATTTTAATATTTCCAAAACATGTTTTTGACTTTGGCACTCAAATTTATAAAGTTAATCTCCCAGGGTACATATATGTCTCTGTATAAAATCTTGAGGTACACATGTACCTAGATTAACAAATAAAGGGTTAATTATATAATTTAAAAATTTGAATTAAATACCTCTTCTAAACTAAATAGGACTCCACCAATTGGAGCCCCAAAAGCAACAGAAACCCCAGCAGCCGCTGCTGCTGATAATATTTCTCTTTTTTTAGCTTCATTTCGGCCATACTTAGGAAACAAATATGATAAAATATTACCTAAAATAGTAACCATAGAATAATATATTCCAATATTAGTATAATTGATTGTAAAAATTCTACTTACCAATACATGAAGCTATATGTACCATAGGTCCTTCTTTACCCAAACTGAGACCAGCCGAAACACACATCATTATTCCAACAGATTTTATCAGTAGAGTCCACTTTCCTAAGTACCCTCTAATTATAAAACCACTTAAAATTGTTTTAATCTGTAAAACCATAATTAAGTTCCATAAATATGTTCAAACCAGATATGTAAAACTTATATGATTAGCCAATAATTARAAGTTATAAACGTTACATATATAATTTAAGATTAATACATTTCAATAAATGTACATTATACACTGTACATTAATTGAATTTGTCAATACGTCTTAAGAGGACGCCACACCCGCATGTGTTGTCTCCGTCGTACAAGTGCGTAGCATAGCAAATTTTACGCTCAGCAGATCACGATTATCTCCATTAATTTAAAATTTAGAGTGAATTGACTTATTATAAAATTAAAGGCAAGATTATTACCGAGGACATCTCATAGGCTTTTTATTATATTTTAATTTTAAACCGAGTTATGAGTATTTTTAGAT